TGAAGTAGGTATATATAAAACATCTCCCTTATCAATTGCCCTCTTTCTTTGTTCCTTTCTATGGTTCATATGTATGATGAATTAATTGGCTGAACAAATCTATCTAAAGGTCAGATTTTCCCTTCTCAATTGGTTGAACAAATCTCTCTAAATGTCAGATTTTCCCTTCTCAGCACCATAATTTCCATGTAGAATAAGCAACCCTAGAATTAGCTAAATGCTGAATCTGATGTTTTGGGTTTGAGTAGTACTTGGATGCCGCCGTTGGGGGATATATAGCGGATAGATACCGGAGACGTGGAGAAAAATTCAACTAAGTGATTGGGGAAAGTTGTTGATGAAGAGACGATGATTAGACAGGTCATACAATATAGGCGTTTAATTGGATAAAAAAATGGTTAAAGAGCTGGACTGGTAAAAATAAATAAATGTAAGGGCCTAACTTTAGTTTATACTGCACTTTAGAAAAATAGTAGATAATTACGTTAATTAAAAGGATTTTTTTTTTTCGGTTTTCGTTGGTATCTAGGACTTCGCCCCGACTAATCCAGATCGATTCGTGTCGCGCACCTAGAAATGGTAGGTAAGTCTCCCAACGGAGCTGCTGCATACACAAGATTTCGAACTCGAGACGTTACTTAAGTTGGAACAAGTCGCTTACCACTTGATCTAACCCTCGTTGGTTTAAAAGGATTTATTTAATCGTGATACAAGTTAAAATATATTAAATATATTATTTTATAATAAATTATTTTATAATAGTAAATTAGGTAATTAGGACCCCATTTGGAAGTCCGACTGTTCAAATTGAAGCACCAGCGCAGAACACGAGATAATCCAGCGCCATGTTGGGAGGGGGGCGGGGGGTGGGTTCGCCGGTCCCTCAGTTGTGAGCCACGCAAGTCAATGTCAACTCTTTTGACTTCCGTATCACCCAAAATCTACGGCACCGCTGTCCACAAAGCACGCTCAACAACCGAATCCCACACAGCATCTCTCCTATCCCTGCCGTCCATTTCTTCATTAATGCACGCGCCACACCTGCGAGTACCTTTTCCGATCGGCCGATATCCTATGAATCTCCGCCGACCGACACCGTAATTACCTCCTTTCTCGCGAGGAAAACGATGGCGTCGATCGCACTCTATTCCCAAAAATCCAGAAATTAAATTTCACCTTAAGTAAACACAAGCGAACAAACAGATTAGATCCAGACGAGACAGCCTTGCAATTTCGTATAAATATATCTGCAGGGACTCGTGCATTAACTAATGCCAGTTCATTTTCTCTCTGTCATTTTCACAAACACCAACAGCTCCTAGATCTCTCCCCGGAGCTGCGGCACCGGAGAAGCTTCATTGCAGTATTTGATATGCTTGTATGCTCGATTACTACCTGGTTCTGTTGAAGCGTTGTTGAGTGTATTAGATTTCGGAGGAGGATGGACGCTGCCGATGGAACGGTGAGATTAGGAGCTCTGAAAATGAAGGCGGCTCGGGGCCGCGATTTGGATTCCGATGTGTCGGTTTCTTCGCCGGTGACTAGACAGAAAGCTGCTGCCGCCAAGCAGTTCATTGAGAATCATTACAAGAACTACTTGCAAGGATTGCAAGATCGTATGGAGAGGTAATATTGTTCGGATTTTGTTCTTCTTTCACGCTTTAAGCTGTTGGACAAAGATTATGTTGTTGTTGAGCGTTGTATGCTATTGAAATCGCTTTAATTGAATGGAGCAGCTTCTTATTGATGAGAATTGAAGGAAATATTTAGAGAATGCGGTCCTACTGCTGCTCAACATGTATTTGTTTCACTTGCAATTCCATAAGCATTTTAATTCTTCTATTTATGTTACAGCTTAAAGTAGTTGTGATTCTTCTAGACATGTGATTTCATCTGTTTAGGTAATTATTAAGTTGCTATGGCATTATTCTTGTTAAGCATTTGATAGTGTTCTGATGGTACAATGATAAATTGATGTGAACTATATGTCATGATCAATGGCAGTTATAAAAGGAATTTGTTGCACCAAACTAGAATTGTAAATATGATTTGCCAATTGGGTCCAATAGGCATGTTATTGAGCTTTGAAAATTGAAACCGTATACGAGTGATTCAGTTTGGGCAAATGTTGTTTCAGACGTCGAGTGCTTCAAAGAAGAGCACAAGAAGCTCAAATTCCAACTGAGGAGCAAGAGGAGATGCTGAGGAATCTGGAACGTAAGGAAACTGAATACATGAGGCTGCAAAGACGGAAAATTGGAATTGATGATTTTGAACAATTAACTGTAATTGGAAAAGGTGCATTTGCAGAGGTATGTTGGAACTTAACCACATGAAAACTCTTCTTCCTTGATCAAAATTTCTCGTGATTTGATGTCTGGGACTTTCTCTCTTGTTGCCATGTCAATCCAGTAGAGAAAACTCGAATTTCAGCATGAGCTATTATGGACGTTTCTTAGCCTGGTTTATGTTGTATTCCTTATAATAAATGTGTGAGAAATTTTAGTATGCTTTATGGATGGGATGTTACTTACCAATTATCACTGTAACTAATGCAGGTTAGGTTATGTCGTGCTAAAGATACGGGAGAGATTTTTGCAATGAAGAAATTAAAGAAATCTGAAATGCTTCGCCGTGGACAGGTAAACCTACCAAATCAAAGTGTTATCCACTATTGCACAGAGTATGGCTCCAATAATATGGTTAAGGATTGGATTAATGATACAAAACGCTTGCATGGGTTTTGACCTTCCTCTTCTTTTTCAGTTTTCTTTTCTGATACACGTGTTATAGGATGATACTTGGGTGTCTAGATAGTTGGTGAATGCTGAATTTAGAAAGACCTTAATCTCATTTGACTTGGAACCTCAAGGCTGTTAGAGGATAATGATTACATAAAACTTGATTTGGATTCTGATGTATTTTCTTGATGATCATGTTATCTAATAGTATATTTTCCTTGTGGATTGTGAAATAAGTATTAATCATTCTTCTAATTTTTCTTTTATTTATTTCTTAGGTTGAGCATGTCCGATCTGAGAGAAACTTACTTGCAGAGGTTGATAGTCGGTGCATTGTAAAACTATTCTATTCTTTTCAAGATTCTGATTTCTTATACCTTATTATGGAGTATTTGCCTGGTGGTGACATTATGACGCTACTGATGAGAGAAGACACTCTCTCTGAAGATGTTGCACGTTTTTACATCTCAGAAAGCATTTTGGCTATTTATTCAATTCACCAACACAATTACATTCATCGGTATGGTTGATGGTCATAACCTTACTATAGCTGTATATCTTGTCCATGGAGGCCTGGAGCTGGCCTTGTTTGAATATGCATTCCCTGTAGAGTTCTGCCTCATCTAAACATATTTCTTATAAGTGTGTGCTTGGACCTTAGAAAACTGCTTGAGGATTATTAGATAATTAAAATAATGGAAAATAGAAAATTCAGTTTCCTTTTTCTTATGTTTGGGCTGAGTCACCTGGATATTTAATCTGAGCTTATTCTGTTTGTAGGGACATCAAACCAGATAACCTGATACTAGACAGAAATGGTCATTTAAAGCTTTCAGATTTTGGTTTGTGTAAGCCCCTAGATGACAGATATTCATCAATTTTGTTGGAGGATGAAGATATTACCTCTGAGGAATCAACTGTTAATACTGAATCCCCGTCTGGCTCTGATAGAGTCCCTTGGTTGATGCCAAAGGAACAATTACAACAATGGAAACGCAATCGCCGTGCTTTGGTATTACGTTATGTTTTTTCTATGTATTCATTTCCTAGTTAGGAGCAGTAGACATATGTAATTTTATTCACTTATTTGTATTTCTTAAGAGGGCATTTTTTCCTTCTTTGATAACATCTACATTTCCTTAGGCCTATTCAACTGTTGGAACCCTTGATTACATGGCACCTGAAGTCTTGCTAAAGAAGGGATATGGGATGGAATGTGATTGGTGGTCTCTTGGTGCCATCATGTATGAGATGCTCATAGGCTATCCTCCCTTCTGTTCTGATGATCCTCGGATAACCTGCCGCAAGGTGGCATCTAACTGTGGTTCTTTGTTTACTTATTAGCACTCTTCACTTACTAAATGGGCAATATTTCTCTTTTGCATCAGATAGTGCATTGGAGAACCTGCCTGAAATTCCCTGAGGAGCCAAAAATATCAGATGAGGCTAGGCATTTGATTTGTCACCTGCTCTGTGACGTTGAAACAAGGCTAGGTGCCGGGAGGATAGAAGAACTGAAGGTAAATTCTTTCAAACAAAATAACTTTTCTTGTTTGGCATTTTGGTTGAAAGATCATGAAGGTACTTTTGCATCATGCATTAGAAATTACTAAATTTCCACAACATTTGCTAGAATATTCTTCTTGGTTTGAGCTAGTTAGTATTCTTGTTTTATCTTAAATGTTTCTCAGGGACATCCTTGGCTCAGAGGCATTCAATGGGAAAAGTTGTATGAAATGGATGCTGCTTATAAGCCCACAGTTAATGGAGACTTGGACACTCAGAATTTTGAGAAGTTTCCTGAGGTGAGTAGATTGAGAACCCTTTAATTGGATTCTACAGTTGTTCTATGCAGTAAAATGCTCAGAGGACAATGACTCATGAAATCTTTTCTATTTTGGAATACTTTTAACTCAAGCAAGGTTCTTTTCCCCAAGCTTTTAGTGTTCTCAACATGTCTTATATTTAACCATCATTCCTAAAATAATGTATATTTTCATAATATTTTTCTACCTGTGCATATGATGTGCAGGCATGGCCTCATTCACTATTCGCTATATAAATGAGGCTATAGACTGTTAAAAGAGTGTTTTGGTTCACAATATTTGACATTCCTAGTTCTAAAGAAGAAAACCAAAACAATTTGTTTTTCTTGTTTCTTAACAGATAGTTGTTTTTCTATTTTGAAACAATTTTAAAATGTAGAAATAATTTTTAAAGGTTTGTAATGCTTGTGCATTCTAATAAATTTTCTTTTATCTTTTGTTTTCTATTTCATAGTTGGAAGGTCTACCCTCTACAACACCACAAGTGGGGCCTTGGCGGAAGGTAAGGACCTTGTTTTTACCCTGATGTTTATTTTATTTGTAAATAGCTGTAGGTCATCTTTTGATGTGAGGAGTTTTTGCTGAAAAATTTCAAAATCTTTTGCTTGTTTGATTTTCCAGATGTTGACATCAAAAGATACAAATTTCATAGGATTCACTTTTAAGAAGTCAGATGTCCTTAAATCACTTGCGAGCTCAGGTATGCTGCTTTTGATGATGTAAATAGCCTGTTATTCTTTTCTTAACTGTAGGAATTTTGGGGTTCAGTTATTTTATGCCCATTGCTTGCTAGTTCCCTTCACATCAGTCATCCTTATCTTTGAGCAAAAAAACTCAGTTCCAGTGTAAGTATTATGGTCTTAACATTAACCTAGTGAATTATGGGTAAGTAAGATACATGGTAACTTGGTGCAGAGGTGAAGTCTGATAAGTTGTAAGAATGTTATGCATATATTATTTTCTATGGAGTTATCAGCAAAGAGTTCCAGTTAAGAAAGTATGCATGATAGATGGTATTGTCCATAGATATGGCCGTACAGGTGTTATCGTTACTGATTTTCCTTTACTAGACTAGTGCTTAATGCTTAACCTGGAACACAATAAAACGGAGGGAAAATGAAAGAGAAGAACAATTAGGTAATGTCCAACTTCAGTATGTGCCTGTTCAGAAGTCACATAAGGATGGAGCAACACATGGCTGTTTTGCCACAATCCAATTTGAAGTTATTAATGCATACCTTGACCCCTAGATGAAAATCTTTTCTCCCCCTCAGCCCCAAAAGACAATGGTGAATGTATTTGGTGAATAAAAAACAAAATTATGTGATTCAAGCTTCACTAAATAGAAACTAATTTTTTCGCCTCAGATATGCAATTTCTCTTCTACATTTTACCTAAAAAGATGTGCAATTTCCCTTTAGCTTCAATGCCTGCTATTTTCTCCTAAGCTGCTTCTCGTTTGATTTATAGAGTATAACCACTTATTGTAATTCTTTTTATTAAGTCACAGTTTAAAACACATATGAACAATAACTAATTGGAGAAGTTTTCCTTTCACAAGTTTCTTGCAACTTAATCTAATTTTTCAGGTTTACCACACGGCACACTCTACTTTGGAATTAGCAGTGTTTCATCACATTATGAAGGTCCCAAGCTGTACATATGTTACTTGGCATCTTTAATATCCATGAAGTTTTGTTTAAATTGTTTAAATAATAGTTGGGGTGGGACCATATTGCCAATGTCAGAAACCATCAATATTAAAAAAAGAAAAAAGAAAAAAAGAAAAAAAAAATGAAGAAGAGAAAAACAGAAAGAAAAGAATAGGAAACCATCAGTATTTGGTAGGCATCTGATTTGTTGATGAGGTGTCCAATTGCCTTTGGCTCATTGATATCCAATGTGGTAAACCCGTTTTGTGGAAGAATCTATCAATATCCATGAAGTTTATGAATGTTAGGGATGGACTCATTGTTTGGGTGTTCATTGCAGGTACAGACATGAGAGTCAATGGACCTCCAAACGGCCCATCTTTAATTTCCTTGCTAGGTATGATGATTTTTCTTGTTTTCTTTTCTTTCTCACTTGAGCATCTGCCGATCTCCTTCCGGTGAATGGTTATTCATTTTAACAGAATTTTCATTTAATGAATCAATACAAATGAAGCCGCTCAATATGCAAGGATTCTCTCCTCTGTCACTGTCCTTTCTCAATCTCTCATTATTTGGCTATTCATTAATGGCATGTTTGTAGAAGCTAGTAAATGTTGGTCCATGCGTAATCACTTGTGTGTTTCCACTTATGCAGGCCGGATTGATCTTCAAGAAACAGCAATACCAGAGGGTGAGCAGAAGCAGGAAAGTTGATTTTTAAGCACTTGTTTGCTTCTGTTGAGTTGAGGCTCAAGGGTAGTTTTTCCTATTCAAGTTGAGCAATTATCAAACAAGACCGAATTTGGCAAGAACAGCTGAAGGAAGACATTAATATGATGAATTAAAGAAAACAGCATCTCATCTTCACCCCTATTCTTCTGATCCTTGTCCTGATCCTGGAGAATAAGAGCTGCTATAAAGCTGAAACAATGTCGAAATCCATTTTGAATGCCATTCATTTCCCTTCATATAAATGCCTATTAATTAGAAAACTTTTTCATGTATATGCAATACTAACTGCTGCTCACGGCTACCCATTTCTGTCGCTTGTTATTTTGTTCTTAGCACTGTATTCGTTCTATATCAGTACTTGCTTTCTGTGGAACGGTTTGGAATTTATGAAGTCAGATACCACCAGAAGCAGATAGCATTGGATTACATGGATTTATCAATTCAGATTTTGAAATTCGTACCTCAAAACCATGCATAAGTTTCACATGCATCTTGACCAAATTGTTGCACCATTCTACCCTCTCCTAAATTCTATAATTTGACTTTGTTGTTGCCCATCTAGATGCAATGCCTTGAGCCTTCGATTGTTCTCGACCAAGTCCTTTGTTTCTTTTTGGTAAATGACCAAGTCCTTTCTAAATGCTTGTATTTATCCGTTATGATCATCTCCAAGTCAGATTTTGAATATTTTAATGCTTTTAAATTAAAAAAAATAAAAATAAAAATCAAGATATTTTAATTTTTAAAATATTATAATTATTTATAAACTTATTTTAATTTTTTTTTATAATTTTTTTATATATTAATATTTTAATTTTCAAAATATATTAATTTTTTCAATCTCTTTAAAATTTATATAAGAGTGTTATTAAAATTAATAAAGAATCTTACGTAATTTTCAAGACTCGACTTGGAGAGTGGAACCCAGACTGGAAGCCATCACTGAGCGGCTCGCAATGAATTTGGTAGCTTGAAGCCGTAAAGGGCTAAAAGCGTTGCGCCACCAGCCACGGCCCACCCAATCGTGTCGGCTAAGCTAAGGCAGCAGATATTTTGCCACTGCAACAAATATCTGGCCCTTCCCGAGGTGATGTGGAATGTGACGGCCCCATGACACGTGTAAAAGCGATGACAACTGTAACGTTCTTTTGTCCCCTCGATGGCACTATCTTCCGTCGCCCCCCCATTATTCTCTCCATTTCATCTTCTTCGTTCTCCTATCTCTCTCTCCTTCCTTCAGTCTTTCTCCTTTATCCCATAAACCCATCGTCTCCGCTTTTCTAAGGGCAGATTTTACGGTGTATGTACATGGAGAGTTCTAGGAGAATTGAAACCCGGCCGAATTCGCAGGCGTCTGAGTTGACTCGTAACGGGTCACACGAGTTTGCTGAGCAAGAAACTACTTTGGGCGAGGTACCTCCTCCAAGTCCCCCTTCTTCGACCTATTTGTCTCTCATGTTTTCTATGATTCTCGTGTAATTTTGTTTTCTTCTCTCCATTTTGATAATTTTAAAATTCTCTAGTCAAGAAACCCCATTTTTGTAATCATGTATTCACTTGTTCTACAGATTTCTTCGCAAATTCTGTTTTCTTTTTAATAATTTTAAGTCTCTTGGTGGGTAGGGGGACTCGGGACTTTGAATTCTAGGAATTTGTTAGGTTTTAGGAAAATTTGGTGGGGAATTTCAGCTGTTTACAGTATAGTTTTTCTTCACCTGGGTTTTAGAAAAAACAGTAATAATAATAATTGTGTATTATTTTATCCGCCAAGCTCTCATAGTGTGCATTTGTTTTTTTTTCCTCAGTTGGGTTTTTGCTGTTGTTGTCACTTTCTGATCATACTCTTAATCACATGGCAGGATTCACCCATCACGGAATCTATGTCTACGGAGTGGACAGATGAGAAACATAGTTTATACCTTAAATCTATGGAAGCCTCATTTGTTAACCAGTTGTATGGTTCAATGAATTTACTTGGTTCCAACTTGCGCAACGAGAGGTTATCAGGCACGAGACCCTCTAGGCACACACATCGTGATGCTCATACCACCTATACTGGCCAGGTTCAACACTAGTTGTTCCTTATTGATGAGCTGTTTTCCCTTCATGTAGCCATATATATCTTATTATGTATTGCTTGTTTCAATTTTTTACTCCAGTTTAAAGTTCTTCGAGGTGGTTCCTGGAAGAAGATCAGTTTTGAAAGACCTGAATTTCGAGTAAATGGAGCAAATCGTGGTCTGGTGGCAAGTCCATGGATCCAACACTTCAGATCTGGGTCTAAGGTCCATGTCTTAACGCATCCTAGCATTCAAGGAATGGATTTATATGGGAACCACTATGATACATGTCACTCTGATCATTTGTGCAGTCATGATTTGATTGGCAGCGACACAGGTGCTTGCTTCTTTATTTTGATGCATTTATTTGGTTGTTAATTGTTGATGTCCGGTGGCCAATACAAAGTTCTTAATGTCCATGTTGTACACTGCTTATTTGTTGCTTTCAAATTGGTGAAACAAGAAGCATTACTTACCATAGTTTGCAATTACATAAAGTTCCATCACTTGAAATTACCTTGGATGATTTATCAAACCCCATACTTGCTGCCTTGTTCACACTTTTGGGTGCCTTTATTCTGTTACCTGTCATCTCTAACGTATTTATATCGATAATTTAATGTTGGAGTCATAAGATTATAGAGTTCCTAGGCCAGACCTGAATGTTCAGGCTTATAGGCAATTGATGTTTTATTTTTATTTTTCAGTGTTTACCATGGAATTTTTTATTGTGCCAAGTAAAGAGTTCTTATATCATTCAATTGTCAAAATGATATATGGTCTCTGTTGTTTTTCTTTATTCCATAGTTTATGGTTCATCTGTTATTGCAGAGGTGACAGACCAAAACTTTGCTGATGAGGAAAACGGTGAAAAGGCAAGCAACGCATGCAGCTCTAAGAAGATGAAGACTGTTGAAACCAATGACTCAAGCAATGATCAGGTCATTTGCTAGACTTATAAGCACCCAAAAACTCATTATAGCCTCTAATTTTTCTTAACTTCTCGACTGCTATTTAGGTTGTTCCTTAGCGTGAAGCCTCTCCTGTTTCTGAAAGCACATACGATTGGCAAATTTCTATGGCTAGATAAATGGCCTTGAATTGGTGATTCAAGGATTGTTCAAGATGCAAACAGATTGTGTGATTCCTTCCTAATACAGGAAGTGATCCAAGGATACCTCTGTAGTCTGTACATATGAATTTTGATGACTTCTGTACAAGTCTAATATTCCTGAGTCCTATTGTTGTATATTTGTGTGTGGCAGAGGTAGAATATTTAGGGGTTCAGATTGAGACTTCAATCAGTATTAGCTAGTAGTGTGACATTAAGTTTTCCTAGTTCTGTTGCATTCCAATGTTATATTTACATTTTCTTTTTTGACGGATCATGGAGTTTTCTCTATACTTATTTTCCTTACTTTATGCAATTTATCTTTTTATGTGGTTTATTAGGCTTTAGAAAATCAGTAAAATTTGCAAAGATATTGTATATTGGGAAGCCTGTGTTGTAGTGTAGATTACACTCTACACTGCAAAATATGAATCATTGAAAGGAGAAAGACTCTTAATATTAAGGATTTAAGTTTTATTTAATAATTAATATTGTATAGTTTAATATAAATTTAATTGCATAATATTATATATTTTTGGCTTTTTAACAAAAAAAAAAGAGGTTTTCCACGTTGGGCCCGAGGGGTCAACTATTGAGGCCCATGTTTAGGTATGGGCCCTACGTCTGGCCTCAGAAAAGTAAAAGAATAGTAAAGAAGAAACCGCGGTAAATGCTGCTTTGATATTTTGAGCATTTCAAGAAACGGCGAAAAATTGCATTCCTTCCGCCACTAACCTTCCTGCGATATCAACACGTACTCTTTCCGGCGGAGTTCCGTCCAAGACTAACCAACCGAAATCACGTTCCGTTTTCCGAAAGAAAGATTTTTCCCATCATTGAGGAAATTCCTCACGAAACCCTAACAGAACGCATACACTACTTTGGTTCTCGTTTTTTCTGTCTGTACAAAATTCTCCTCTTTTCCCTCCTCCTGATTTTGTGTAGGGTTTCAGATTTTCAATTCCTGATTCCTCTTCTTTTCTTATCCTGTAGTTTTAACAGTATCCGGTTGCTGAAATTGGGCGCTTGAACTTGATCGGAGGAATTTACAATGCTGCCTTTTATGTCGACCTCGAGGGCGGTGGGTTCTCTGATATCCCGTAAAAATGGGGTCAGGCATTTGATTATGCAGGCCAAGAGCAATGGTCAATTCCGGAAATTAGATCAATTTCGATACTTTAGTAGCATTGCCGGTATCGAAACCCCTTCAGTAAAGAAATTGACTGGTTGGAGCAGAGAGGACGTTAATTGGTTGTCTGGAAGCTTGTTTGATAGTAATATCATCCAAAGGAGGCGGTTTCTTGGGTGCGGTGATGGTGAAGAAGCTGGTGTTTTATCCAAAGTTTATGAGGAGAGGCGCGTTATGGGGTAATTTGATAGAAAAGCTTCTTCTTTTTTATTTTTTATTTTTTATTTTAATGTCTTTCTGCAGGTTCTGGTGCTCATTTAGTTTTGTTCTTAATTCAATTTTAGAAATTAGAATCATGGCTGTTGAATTGAGGATTTCTTTATTAATTTGGTTCTCTCATTGAAGAATGTATTGGTGCATAAATCTTTCTTTTTTGTTTTCCTTTATTGAGATGATATTATTCAGGTGGTTGGTTGTAGGCTTCTAGTTGAAGTTTTAGTGGTTTCTCTAGTTAAGTGCACTTTGCCACATTGATTCTGTGTTTCAATTCTTCACCTTTATTGATTTCTTGTGTTTTTTTTTTGGATAAAATATAAAAATGTTATTTATCCAATAAGACTATTCTGTACACTCAAGCAGCAGCTGCTGCTACTATCAATTTATAACTGCAGTTTTCAAGAATATCCAACTGCTATTGGGAGCTGTATAATGCCTTCTAGCCCCCATTGCACTGCTACAGCTAGGGGCAGTGATGAAGATTTTGGCTTGCAAATCCCAAAACCTTATTTCTAACATCAAACCTTATTAATTTTGTGTTGTTATCGTTATTGGTTTTTTTTTTTTTTTTTCTTCGGTTTTTGCAAGCTGACTTGTCTATAAGCTGATTTCTTTGAGGAAGTGGGATTGAATTATCTAATTGATCTTGGCTTCTTGAGTATTGGATTCTCTCATTGTTGTATCATACTATCATACATTTGTCTTTTATGCTAATTTGATTCTTAAATGAGAAAGTAATAAGTGAATATGGTTGTTAATGCCAGGTATTCTCCGGAACAGTTATTTGATGTGGTTGCAGCTGTTGACTTGTATCATGGATTTGTCCCTTGGTGTCAGAGGTCTGACATACTTAAATGGTATCCAGATGGGTCATTTGATGCTGAGTTGGAGATTGGTTTTAAGTTCCTTGTTGAGAATTATGTTTCGCATGTAGAATTGGAAAGACCAAAGTTTGTAAAGGTAATCAATTTCCTCGCAGTTTCTTAGGTGGTTATGTTTGGTATCTTTTTGAAATTACTTTCTACCGTTTTTTGTGAAGATAAAGTTAATTTGTTATCTTAGTTATAGCATGCAAAAACTTTTGAATGTCTGAACTACAATTCCAGCAAAGCTTAGTGGATATGGTGTCACTATGAAAACTCTACTAAATACCCAATGTAGAATATGTTTATGGAAAGGAAGAGTGAAACTGCTCGCAATGAATAACTAGCATAATGAAAAATGAAATGCAGTCTGAAATTGCTTTGTTTGCTTCTTTTATGGAGAATGTAGATGAGGGGAAAATACAGTATGCATGTTATACGAAAGAAATCATAGGGTATTGAGGCACTAATTTCAACTCACAGGTAATTATGTCCATTTTCATTCTCATCTCCCAATATTTTGGCTATTGAGATTTAAAAAATTTTTCTCCTAAGTGGTCAGGGTACATAAAGAGCAAGTCTGTTTGGTAACTATCAGTCTATCTCTGCCACTCTAACTAAGCATCCAAAAACCAAAACGTCCTGACTAGTGCCATAATGTCATTAAACTATTCCCTGATTGCTTGAGAATACTTGTGCCAACATATTTGGCAGTTCTTTTTAATGCAACTTGAGGAGTAAGATCAATAATTTTGTATTAGGTGAGGGAATCAAGGCAAACTTGTTCAAACGCCTATTCTTTCTATCTGATTATTAATCTTTTACATCTGTTTCATCCTCTAACAATGAAATCACTGATTGTTTGATTTCACATTCTGTTCTGCTTGCAGTCAACTGTGTCAGAGAGCAACCTTTTTGATCATTTGATAAACATTTGGGAATTTAATCCTGGACCAGTTCCAGGATCTTGCAACCTTTACTTTCTTGTAGATTTTAAGTTCCAGTCCCCACTTTACAGACAGGTAATTGTCCTAAAGTTAATCATCATCATTTAAATTACTATGACATCTGGATGCAGCTTCTTTTGAGATGATGAAACGTTCATGTTGCTGGCATTCACCATGCTAGTCATTCTTACCGCAGCAAACATGGCAGGGTCATTCCATTTTATTTATCTATTTTACTTCTCCCCCTTAAGTACTACCTCTCCACATAATGATTGTAGTACACCTTTTATCTGCCTAGCAACTCATTTTTTAAACATCTTGATAGCAACCATAGTTTGAAGCTTGTACCCTTTTTCTGTTCTTAGATGCCTATATATCATCTTAGAGATTAAGCTTTTCCTTCTTTTTATTTGCATGTGTCTGCCATTTTGCTTTTTCTAACTCTATATTTGAGCTGTAATAACTGATTCTGTGAGGACTATATACCCATTGAAAGTTCATCCAAGGCAAGTTTGAAGGCTTGAAGCATTCTCATCTTCTGACTTTTTTGACAGGTGGCAACCATGTTTTTCAAGGAGGTAGTCTCTCGATTGGTTGGCTCATTCAGTGAACGTTGCTGTTTGATATATGGCCCTGGAGTTCCAGTAGTTGAAAATTCTTACGAACAAAGGGCATGACTATTCGTATTACATTTAGCCAGAGGTAGTAGCCACTAAAGAATCCTTGACTGCATAATGCATATAAGCACTTACGCACTTCCAAAGACAAAATGAAATGGTTCCATCATATCATGGCTTCCGTGCAGCCTTTGTTTTGTATGCTGCCTCGCCATATTAGGCATTCTTTCTCTTGTTCCTTCTTCCACTTTAGATAAGATTCATCAATATATTAGTTGATGATCACTATCACTTTTTAACCTTTATACCCGCAGTTGTTACCACACAAAATGTAAATGACAATAAGCTGACTAGTAAATTCTGGTGATTAAAAAAGAAGAAGAAGAAGAAGAAAGAATCGCTTTCAAACCTCTGTATGGCCCCACCTCAAAGTTAAAAGAGAATAATCATTTTCAGATATTGACGAACCCATTTTTTTATCATAGTGTAAGTTGGTACTATCCAAGAAGAGCTGATCATGACAGTACGAAAATTTTATGGTATGAGATTCTCTTTTTATTTATTTATTATTATTTTTTTTTTTTGTCGAATGTTTGCCAATAATTCATACACTTTCGGAGATTCTCTCAACCGTCCAGCTAGAAAACAAAGAATACTGTTTTTATACGTAAATACGAGGGATTGAATTTTAAACTTATAATTAAAAGTACATATAACTTTATTATCATATTATATGATTGATGGTACAAAACAAAGAATACTTTACTCCTGTTCTTTGGTTGAATACCCTTGATCAGCCTTCCATATTTAAATACATCAATATGACCAAAAGCTATGGAATATACAAAAGTGTTTTTTTTTTTTGTTTTTTGTTTTTTTTATCTTTTATCTTTTTTCCTTTTTCTCAGTACCAACTACACAAAAAAAATATATTCTAAGTACTAAAATTACCAAAACACTCTTGATGAAATATTGAAACTCCCTATTATGTTAATTCATTAAGAGTATTTTTGGTAAATTTAGTGCCTAAATTGCAACATATCATGTGTGTTTATTATATATAAAAATGTTAATATTGCACAATATTGTCTTCAAAAATACTAATTTTGTTTGGTTTGAATGAACAATTAATAACTAATATTTATTATTTAATAGATTAAAATTAATTTATAGATTGATATTTTAAAATATCATAATTAATTATTTAAGAAAAAAAGCTACAAATTAATAAAATATCAATAAAATCAAATTCAATTTGTACGGTCTTAACATTCTTCTGTGTGGCTATAACCACATCCATTATCTACCGTCTGTACTAAAAGAACAAAACTCATGGAATATATATCTCTCCTTTTTTCCTCCTCTTTCCCCCAGCAATCCAATCGGTTATCCCTCGCATGTTACAAAGATTCAAAGCATCTGTCCGTCACTTTCTTTTTTCTATTATCCCCTCTCCTTTCTGTTTCCCTTTGGTTTTCATTTTCGTCCGTAGCCTTGATTAAGAACCCACAACAATCATTCTTTCCATGAAGATCAAAATTAATGTATGTCGTTGAGAGTTGAAAATGTCATGCATGGCTTCCATAAAACTCTATATAAATCTCTTGGATTAATCAAATAACGTGTTTAATGTTCTAAAGGTTAGAATTATGAAAATATTCTGTGGCAAATTGAAGAGAGGATCAGTTGACTTTAAGTGTGGAAATTAAGAATATTCGAACAAAAATATAGCAAAAGTACATAATTTTGATATAAATAATATGCCTTTGACTATATTAAAAAGATACACTTAAGTTTATGCATGCTTGCTTATTAGTTCACAATCACCGAATGTATAAATTGTTGATTATAATTTAAAGCTATGGGACCAGCAGCTCTGAATGAATGTGCTTCAAAGATTGAACAATTTTCGGTAAATTAGAGACCAAAGCACTATATGTTCTAAGGGGTGCATCTATAGTTAATTTTTATTTAGGCAAAATCTTATATTAAGCTCCCAAACTTACTTCAAACTTTCAATTAAATTCCTAAACTTTTATTAAGTAACTAAACACCTAAACTTGACAATTTGGACAATTTAACCCCTCTTCTTTATAGTAGACTTAACGTTATGGTGGATTTAATGACGATTTATACATCACTTGTATGGACAAAATATTGACATGTCACTGTTTACATGGTGAGTATTGATTTTGTCTATATAAATAAGGCATCAACAGACGTTAAATCCATCATAAAAAAAATAGTTAAATTACCCAAATTAACAACTTTATAGGTTTTCTTGCTTTAATAAAAATCAGGGATCTAATCGAGAATTTAGGATAAGTTTGAAGACTTAACATAAAGTTTTGCCTTCTATTTAATTATTAATTAATATTGGGATTAATTGAATTAAGCTAAATCATCACCAAACATCGAGTGGAAGATGTGTCATGACTGAAAGATTAAAGGACAGATGACATTGTGCACGGATTTTGTGTTGGAAGAATTCTTATGTCCCTGAATTGCATGTTCTTAAAAAAGGAACCTGACGCGTGTATATTTTGGGCCTAGCTAGCATGCTATTGCTCCCCTCCTAATTAAGGGTATGCCATTTTTATTGTAAACAATAAAGCAGATAACTGATATAAAGAGATTTATAGTGGTGCAAACTGCAAATGAAGCAGCATGCACATGGTGATTATATATTATAGCTAGATTCCTTGGACCACTGGCTAGCAACTCTTCATATATATATTTTGTTCCATTATCACCTATGCTTTTCTTCTTTTCCCTTTTTTTTTTTTTTTTCCATTTTCTTTAGAAGAAAATTTTAACTGCCATCATTTTCACTACCCCTTGAAACTTTATTACGAGAACACTAGTTGATTCCGAATAACGTGTTGTCATCTAACAACTTTCGGATGCTCAATTGTGATATTGGATGAAGAACTTAAATTATTCTGATGCTAAATTGTCAGGAATGGATTGAGTCGTAAGACTCTTTACTTGAAAGATGAAGTTATTAAGTGAAAATAAGATTGTATTATTTTAAAATTTAAACTATAATTAAGGTCACTTTTTCTTTATTTGTCATTATTATAGTAAAGATCCAAGAGTTCAAAGCGAACATAAATCATAGTTTGTGATGGAAAAATACATTTTTAAAAGCTGTTTTCAGTTGATAAAGTTAAAAACTTGTAGTTTCCAGACAGTTATTGCTGTTGTGGAAAACGTAAAACTTCGCCCTTTTTTCTTAAAATTTATTTTATTTTATTGAAAAGAAAAGAAAAACTACGTACGGTCGTGCTCGGTAATTAAGTGAACAATTGGTCAATGATTTATTGATGTAAATAAAATGAGTTTAATTTTTTTAAAATAATATTTTAAATTTAAATATTATAAATGAAAAAAAATATTTAAAACATAAATATTAAATTTTTTTTATTTTAAACATAATTTAATTTTAAATTAATTAAAATTTAATATAATTATTAAATACCAAAAAATTAATACAAAAAATTAATACAAAAAATTAATACAAAAAATTAAGTTTACAATTGAACATGCGTACCACTTTCCCCGTGAGGTACCGTACTCGCCTTGTAGATGGTAGAATGTTAAATCAAAACCTAGGAGAGCCAGCCTAAGACTATTGCTTGTGCAAATACATGAAACAAACACCAAACTTTTCACGAGCTGAAGAATATCAATGATGGTACTCTGTTTCATGGATAGGTTTGGAGCAAATAAGCGTCCGAAACCTGCCCCCATTATAGAAAACTAAATGAAAACCTAAATCCTTGTGAGATTTTTTCCCTGTCAAAATGTGCAGTTCACCCATTTTCCTTGTCAAAATGTCAGTTCACTCAAGATACGTTTCGAGATCCTAAGAGGACAAACAACATTGAAGGTCACTTTTTTAGGATGTGAATTTTATTAGGAAAGTTTTTATTGCGAAAATAATTAGAAAAATATTATATAAAAAATTGTTAAATTTTGTAATAAAATTTTATTTAATTGTTTAGTGTTTTGTTTTTAATAAGAAATTGGTATAGAAAAAATTTATAGAAATTGAAATCGTCAAGTAATTTTTACATTGAAAAAGTTGAGGGAAAACTTTTTTTTTTTAAATATAAAAAAAATTTACAAATTAAACATTGTGTAAAGAAAAATAGACATGTTTTGTTAGAGAGCAAGTTCATTAAAAATATTTTTGCTAGAAAAATAATTAAGAAAGTGTTATATAAAAAGTTAAAAAATATTATATAGAAAGTTAGTAAGTTTTGTAATAAAATTTAATTAGAAATTTATTGAGTTATTAATTTTATTATGTTTGATAACAAAATTAATATAAAAAAATTA